GATGTGAAGAAATTCACAAAATTTGCTATAATAATAATAATAATAATAGTAGTAATAATGAGTTAATCGACATTGATATTTTTACAGTTAGAATGTCAGATAATGTTGGCCATTGCTTTTTGAAGACTAGTATAATTTAGCTTGACGTTTTCAGTCATGCCAAATTAGACCCTATTAAATCATTGGCTCATTTATGTAAGACAATAATTTTGATGATTGATCATGTACAGGTTGAATAAGATAACGTTAATATAATTTCATTGATAAAAATTTGGTTTTTCTAGTTCTGTTAAGTTTCTTACAAAGAAATGTCACTAGAACAATCTTGTAGGATCCAAACTGAGGTTTGGATTGAGGAATAACTGTTCGGGTATTTTAGATAAGTGACTTGCCCAGTTTAAATACAAAACAAGGTGGTTCGGGTAAATAACGGTTCTAATATTTATCATAAATATAAATATACATCATTACCAAAACAATATTACCACAGCTATTCCACCAACAATTCTTCAATCATTCAAATAAATGTTATTCTATCCCTCCTGGATAGATCAGGTTCGTTCAAAAGATAATATTTGGTTGCTTTATAACACAGAGTGTTTCCAGTTCTGGAAGAGTGCTTCAATTCGCAATCAAAATGCACGATTCCAGTCAAAGCAGGCAACCCAGTCAAAAGAGGACCAAATCAATATGGCTGTCGCCATGACCAAGTATCAGCCAGTACAATATAATGCAGTTCAGAAAGAAACATAGAAACTCAGTAAAAGCAGAAGAAATAGAAACTGTAATAAAATACACATATTATTATCTCAAATGGAATCGAACAGATCAACAAAATGTACAACTGAAGGAATGATCAATAAGGACATATTACAAATGTGTACGTGGAGGGATTTTCACAAACAAAGCCTTTAAAAATGGATCTTACAATCTTTCCGTGATTTAAGTTATAGCTTTTGCTTGAAGATGACAAGAAATTCAATTATCATGTTAAAAATTACTATTGACTGAGAATTTTTGATTATTATTGTTTAAAACTACATCTGATTCTTATTTTCATGTGAGCATGATGAGCATGCAATTTAGCAAGTACTTGAGAAACTGTTTCATGATACAGATCAAAAGTCTTCAACAGTTCACGGCTACATTTGTCACTGGGTCATAATGTAGGTAGCTTGGGAGTTATTTATCAGCGAAATAAACTGAATGCTTGTAAAATTATTGTAGTGTAATTTACTTCTATCAATAACAATATCACATGCCGATTTCAATGACTTAGCCATTCAATGGACTTATTTCATTTTATAATTGTCACTTTATTTGCAATAACTAGAACTTTGGAATCATGAATCGATCAATGTTAGATCACTATTTGAAACCTGGAAGCACTGGACGAACGTTTCGTCCTAATACGAGACCCATCAGCAGTGCCCATCCACGACTCCCACTACTAGCAGGAATCGGATTGAGAATCTTCGGTGTTGCGCGCGAACGCCTAACCTCTGAACCAGAGAACCGGTATCCAGTGCTTCCGGATTTTTAATGGTGGTCTAACATTGATCGATTAATAATTTCAAAGTAATTTAACTTTCTCCACAACTCTAGGATAAAAAAACACAAACTAGAACAACAATAAAAATTCAATTTTGAATTTTTCGTTAAATTGTAACCCATTAGATATACACGTCTATACGATAAATCGTCATACTTTTCAAGAACCACATGTACCTATAATTCATTCTCCTAAAAATACATTTGTAATTGCTTTTATTGATTGATTAGACGGTCGTTTTTATATATTTTTTTCTAAAGTTAACAATCTGAAGAAGAAATAGGCAATCAGTCACGTTTATCTCTTTGTATTTATATGAAGACTTTTTTTTATGCACATGGGTGTATTATTGTACTATGTATGATAAGAAAGTCAAAACAAAATATAAGCAGCAAAACAACTTGACAGTGTATTTGATTTAATTTATAATTGACAAGTTACAGACATCCGCATTTTCTAGGTGCTTTAATCGCCTGTCTCACTTTTTTTTTCTAAATAAAAATAGATTAACATTCATTTATTGATTGGACGCCAGAATGTCTAGTCTTATCAATCCAGTGCAAAAAATGGACTAATTAAGGAGTGTTGATGAATGAAATGAGAATAGACAAATGAAATACTACACAAAATATTTGTAAATTAACCAATAGTAAGCAAGAAACAATGATGTGTTTTTAGTGAGAAGTAAACACCTAATTACACAAGAAAATGATGTTGGTCATAAACTGAACAGAAAAAGATGATTGTCGGAAGGAAAATCACAACTATAAAAGAAAGAAAACAGCGACTTTACTTTCTAATCAAATGATATTACATTTTCGATAATTGTTTTGTTAAGTTAGAAGTTGCATCTGGCTCACATGATCAAAACTAAATGTCAATATAACTTAAACATTCTTGATCGCCTAAGAGATTGAACTACCGACTCCTTACATTCAATAGTGAAATTTGTAGTGCTTCTGCATACATTTAAGTTCGCTTATGTTTAAATTGGTTAAGCTTTTCAATCAATTTATTTAACCAAGTCATTTGGATAGCAGCAACTTATATGTACCACTGGCTTTTGCTATTGTCTGATTTGTATGAGCTGGAATCCCTGAACATTGCTTACCGCATTCGCGAATATTCATCCTATTCGCTTTAATGTTAACCTCTTAAATATCTCGATGACTCAGATATCTTCCGATGTATATATACGAACATTTTAATCTTATTAATTCATTCTCCAATTCACTCTCTCGCTAGCGTACTAGTCCCTCTCTGTGTGCTTGTGGTGTGCTGATCCATTTGTAGTGTACCAAAATAAAAGTATTCAACACTTCGAGTTCACCCACCGTCAGACGCTAATTAGTAACGATTGTCTGGACGAACAGCATACGAAGTCTAAGAACACGTTGGATACCGATCGTTACGAAACTAGTGATACATTGGCCACCATAAATTCTATTTCAGCTAGACTAACGGTTTCAACTCGAGTAATTACAATAACACCTAACACGACTGAAACAATTTGTTATCTTGAGTAATTGACGAAGACTTTATTGATTACAAGCTATGACTTTATGTTCAAACATCTTGTAAAAATACAGTTTGCATTGACAACAAAATAAACTCCAAGAAGCCAATCAGTAATTGATTGGATAACTAACTAGTTTTCGTTCACATTTAAGTTTTTATCGCTAATATAAGATAACCTAATTGTTTTGCATTCAATCTAATTCATTTAGGGATCGGAAATGAAGAATATTTTTCTTACATCATTTTCCGAGAACTTCATCAAACATAAAAGTAAACTTCTTAAGTCATTTAAATTCTTTGTGTACACAATCGTAATTAGGTGTTTCTCTATCTCTCTCTCTCTGCTTATAGACATTTTTGTGGTGTATCTCAAGGTATTCTTCGGTAGTTATTCTAATTTTAATGCACTTAACTCACCTGGTATGATTACAAAAATTTATAAATCTCTTATCAGAATATGAGAGTTTGGATATTACACTGATCAGTCATTTCTATACACTTCTATGATATCCGTTTGCTAACCAAAGGACGAGTGTGCTGAACAGCAGTTCGCTCCGTCCTACTATACGGATGCGAAGCATGCCTGGTAAGAGTAGAAGATATTCGTAGGCTATTAGTATTCGATTATAGATGTCTTCAAAGCATTGCTCATATATCCTTGGATGACTGAGTAGTCAATGCTGTTGATAGGAAACGAGTACTAGGTAAGGATGACAGATCAATAGATGAAGTATTGAAACTTCATCAGTTGAGGTCGTTGGGACATGTGTTACGTATACCCAACCACTGACTGTCTCGACGAGCGATGTTTTCTGGTGCAGGAATAGGTTGGATGAAAGCTAGAGGCGGCCAGACCAAAACATGGCACAATTCCATGAAGTCACTGACAAGTGGACTGAGTCATGTTGACAGATGTAGGCTACCTAGTTGGGGTCCACGAGACAAGGGTCACCGATGGTTAGAGACATTGAATGACATGGCTCAAAATCGTTTGTAGTAGCGCAGTGGCATCCATCCTTTTTGTTCTCTCAAATTCTAATCTTTGGAGTTCCTCATCATTTTAATCTTTCTCTTTCTAAGGTTATCTCACTGAACTATACTTCTTGAATCATATCTTCGATCCCTGATATTCTCCATTACCGCTAATTCTTCTACTATCTCCACCAATATGGGATTCGAACTGATAATTGAGTCTCTGTACTTACGTACGAAGTTCTACGCTGTAATTGACTGACTGACTATGACTGAGAATAATATTTAAGTCTTATGAGAATGTCAACAAATATTGTCGCGTATAACTTCTAGTTATAATAAATGATTGCGTTTAAGTCAGACGAAATTGTTGCATAACTGTATGAAGTGTCGAGGACGTTAGATCCCCAAAACTCACTTGTAAAAGGACCTAATTTTGGATTACGTGTTTTCGCGCATGGGTTGGTCAACCAACTTTGAGAATACATGTCTCACTCAGACAATCCTTTACTGTCGTCATTGGCTGATGTATTATTTTAGTGCGCTATCTTCGGGGCTCTCCGAAGGACGTTTCTATCATGTATAAATAAACTCGATTTGTATGCTTTTCAACCTTGCGTTTTCTAGGTGCTTGTAGAATACACTTTCTATGCTTTATCAAGACTTCTTGCTATAGTTAGCAGGGCCTGGGACAATTGTATCAGAATAGCCTAACGTGTCACTGTATCGTTTGCTTCGCTCTTGTTTACCGAGCAAGGTGAACTCGTAATAGTTTCAAGGATATCGATTGACGAGTATATCATAAAGAAATACTTTTCCTTTCTATATTTTTAATTCAACCCATTATCGATTTGTTTAATCTTTTTCTTCTATTTATTTTTGTAGTTTTTTTTTGTGGAAAAGTTTCACGAAGAAAAGTATCCTATTTCCCAATTACACCTTGAATTCCAATACCAAAATGACTTCGAATCAAGATATTATCAAGGCATCGTCATTATTTTCTGATAAATCTGCAAGCCTAAAAGAAAGAAGTCATAGATATATTTTATCAATGTTAAATAATCTTACATCAGCAAGATCATTTGATGATAACTTTTCTTTTAGTCCTGATTGTAAAAATCGAATGGGAGATTTTAAACCTTGGTTACCCATTGAAGCTACACTGTGTAAATGTACATCACCAAACAATTTCAATTATACTGTCGAATCCAATATACATAAAGATGTGATCAGGAAAATGAGTGTACCTGACAATATGACAATTCACAAGACTGATAATCCACTTGATTATTCCATTCATTCACATTTGAATGATTGTCAATATTCAATGTCTACCAGTTCGAAGGCAGTAGCTCTTAAACAGTCGGAATGTAATGGCAATTCATCACCTGAATCTTTGAACAACTTCAGTATTCACAACAACAATACATTTTCTTTCAGAAAATCAAGTTGCACTTCGGAGCCAGTTTTAAATTATCATATAAATAATGAAATTGATAGTGGACGTTTATTAAAACGTAAATACTCTAAAAATAATTCACGTGCTTCTAGGAAATACTCTGAAAAATATATTAAAACAGGAATCAGTAAGGTAACTGAACTTAATCAGTCAAATGGGATCAGTATTGCTTCCAGTAATAATCATAATAATAATAACAATACAGATAGCAGTGATAAGAGGTTTGACGTAATCAACCCTAATACTGCTAATCATTTATTTACATACAATTTGTTAAAGGAGACGTGTTCTTTGAATCAGAATGTTATAAATGAAGATGGAAATATGATAACTCATAAAAAATCTAAATTGGATAAAAGTTGTCCCAATAAACAAACAACCAATACGACTTATTATTCAACTTCTAAAAATAACACATGGAACAATGATAAGAATAAATCGGGTAAAACTAACGACGAAAACTTAAACAACCTGGAAAAAAATACAGTTAACGCAACAGGAGCTTATAAATATTTATCATGGCGTGAAAAAGATCGTAGACGGCGATTTCGTGAAGAATGGAAACATTTATGGCTTGTTATACCACATGGACTTCATGAAGTGAGTTGAAATTGATAATTTTAATTTTCTTAATAACTAATTTTCTGTATTTGTCGAAGCCAACATTATTGATGAGGAATTAGGTAACAATCAAAACTGTCAATTTCTTCAGTGAATAACAATTCTTTGTAGAGTTGATGATTTTATGTGAAACTGTTATAAATGCCGGCCTAGTGGTCCGATGGTTAGGTGTTAGTGCACAATACCGAAGGTCCCGGGTTTGAATCGTGAGAGGTGCAGGAGTCGTGGATGCACACTGCCACTGATGAGTCCCATACCAAGACGAAAAGGTCGTCCAGTGCTTCCAGGTTTCTGATGGTGGTCTAACAATGGTTGATTGATGATTTCAAATGTGTAAAAACACTAATCTCCATAACTCTAATTGAAAATATGTTAAGAATGACTTTAAGATAAACATTCACTATTCGAAATTTTTCCGTTGATGTATCATTTACTCTATAGATATTGATCGTAATGTTACTGTCAATAAGTTCGTTATGTGAATTAGAGAATCTTATCGGAAACTCTGACTGAAGAGAAAGTCTAGTAGAAATAAATAATTTTTACCAAAGGATCCATTCAATACGGCTAAAATGTCAATAAAAACTGACTGTTTATCTTGGATGAGGATAACTAACTATGAACCCTATTTCTAACGGATGCAAACATGGAATCTAAATATGCACCACAACTTTACAATTGAGGTTTATTAAAATGTAATCCTAAACTCTGAAACCTAGCAGTTTGTTTATATTGTTTCGGAAAGTCAGGTGGTGATATCGCATGGAATAAATGAACTGAAGTTTTAGTTAGAGGTTGCTAATAATGAACTGTGCATTAATTAATTTGTAGTTAGTTATGATAGCTTCTCAAAGTTACATAGCTTTCAACCACTAAACCCATGTACCTGAATGAAGATTATGTCTGTAAATATTTTTTTATTAATTCGTGATATTAATATAGTGATATCGAGGAAGTAACGCTTAAAAATTGGACACAGGTTTTCTTTATTTGCCCGATGACTGCTTTTTGATTAGTTATTGATAAAAACGAATTCATCTCATTTCAAACATTTATTTAAAAGAAACGATGTATTACCTTGTTCCTGTTTCAGATTTCAGTAGTATTGAACTTACTCTTAAAAACATTATTTTATTTTGTTGTTTTTATCGAAAAAAATGTTGATAAAATGATAAGACCAAACATTTTAAACTAACTAGGTAATATTTTTCTAGTACTCAAAATAACAACCAAAAGTATAACATGTTTCCTTGTATTAGACCTCAACAAAGTTTAGGAAATTTAAAAATTTGGAAACTGTTTTACATATTTATTTAATTTTTGAGAATATTTGAATGTCAATACATTTATGATCATTTCAAGTACCATAGTAGGCCATGTGGAAAAAAAGGTGACTTAAATCTGTTTCGAGCTATTAAGCTGTATTTTGTAAGAAGTATCCGATTACGCAGTAAAATTATGTAGTTATTTGAACTTGCCCTAGTGTAATTTTTCCCAACTAAGGGAAAAGTTCAGAAAGAAATTCATAAAAATCAGAATCCAAGTAGTTTGAATCACTAATCGGTTGTGAGACTAACATTAATATACTGAGTAACGGATTAACCACATTCGGGGTTCTAAAGAAATTAGAGAAAACTGTTGTCCCTATTCAGTTACCCGTTAATTTCTAAAACTAGTCACGTCTAACAACAACCATATTTGTCATTCACTAACATTTCATTAAGAAACGACCTTTTACAGATTAACAATTCTGTAAAAGCTCTGGAATAATACTTAGATAACAAATATCTATGATGACATATAAATGAAAGGTAAATTTTTTGTCTTAGTAATATCTATACTTCACAAGTGTACAAACTTAAACCTAAGCAATCCCTATACCTTGGTTCTGTGCATCTATTTTTTTGCGCTTGTAGTACTCGATTTTTACAAATGTGACTACTATGACACCGATTGTATCATAACGTTTATTAGATTGTGAATGCTTAAATTTTCGCGCTTGAAAGAGTTAGACAGATGATAAATAATACATTATTCTTATACAAGTCAACATGATCATTATGCTAGTTTTAATAAACAAGTCTCAATATCATCCATTCTCTTCAAAACTTCAATCAGACAGATTGATTCGTTGATACAAACAACCAGGTAGCAAACATCATGATGGTAAAAAAAAGAAGCGAGTGATTGGTCAAACCATTCAATGTTCAATTCCCCGGGACTCATAGTCAAACCCTTAATCAATCACTTTAATTTCAGATGTCAGACAGAATCACTCGCCACCAGTGTGACACAGAATGAAAAAACAAAAAAAAACATACACTTGTTTAAGCGACTTCTTTTTTTTAAACTTTCAAATGTAGTGCAATATCATCATATCCATTAGGAAAATTTCCCATTAGTCAAAAAAAACATACTTATTCACTGTGTTTTGTTGACTGACTGACTAATTCAATAGCCAACAAACTGGTGTGATGAATTTTAATTTTTTTTTTTTCACATGAATGTATATATGGTTAGGTTGATACTGATGATACTAGTAATAGTAGTATTACTATGATAACACAGCTTATGAATAAGCCTTTCCCGTCAATACCACATTTATTACCACTAGTTTTTTTTTGGAATTTGTGCAAAAGGCATACACACCTCTATGCATTTAAAAGACATTGAGATGCACATATACTTACTAACATTTTATTTATTAAAGTTGATGGATAGCTATGATTGTGACTGTTATTATTATTATTATTATTATTATTACTATCTTTGAACCATCTATGAAACATTTCTCGTAATTATTAACAAATATTCTAATGTTTGCGCATTACAAAAATGTGTTGCGAATCCAATTTTAAGCGGTCTTTTAAATCTTATCTACCTTACTTCCAATCATTCTTGGTTTGAAAAAAAAATGCTAACTAATAATCCACATTTCTTCAGATAAATATATAATGCTACATACATATAATGCCTAAACAAATCTCATCAGTTGTGCTAGATTAGCAAAGTAATAAAATTTGTACAATTTGTAGAGAAATGTATGAAAAATAATAAACAGTACTGGAATAAAAAAATGTCGGAGGGAGAACAGGAAAAATGCGTTCAAGTTCAAAATTTCGGTGCATATCAGTGAGGCCAAGAACGAGTAGGCAAGTAATGAGTGAGTGTGTGTGTGTGTGTGTGAAAAATATGTTAGTCTTCCACTTGTTTTTTATAACTTCGCCTAGTTTTCCGCGTTTTATGTATCTTATTTATTGACATTAATTGGTCATTTAAAAGTGGGTGATTTATAAATTTGTACACAAACATAAAATATCTACAGTGTAGTATGTGTGTATAGTGTAGATAATATTGATTCTCGCGAAAAAATCTGTTAATATCAGTGTGAATGATGATAATGATTATTATCATAATGAGATTCTATTTCGAATTCTATTTCGGACAAGCGGCTTATTGGTTCTACGCATTCACATCATGAATCAGTCATTGCTAGACCACCATTAGAAACTTGGAAGCACTGGACGGCCGTTTCGTCTTGGTATGGAACTCATCAGTAGTGCGCATCCACAACTCCTGCTACTCGCAGGATTAGAACCCTGTGGTCCAGAGGTTAGGCATTCGGGTGCAGGATTGAAGGCCCTCACTTCGAATCCTGCGGGTAGCAGAAGTCATGGATGCGCACAGCTGATGAATACCATACCAGGACGGAGCGGCCGTCCAGTGCTTTCAAGTTTCTAATGGTGGTCTAGCAATGATTGATTCATGGTTTGAATGTTTAAAAACACTAATCTCCATAACTCTAACTGAAAAACGTATCGGTTCAACGACTGTACCTAGTAGAAATACAGCCCAAATTGTTCAAATTCATTTACTAAATAAGTTCATCAACTTCACCTCAAATGAAGTGTGGTTTTGTGAATAAAACATTTACCATACCTCTAATATTACTCGAATGCAAACCTTTCCGAGAGCTCTTCAAAGCCCATAGCACTTATATACTCACTGTACCTCAATTTTGAAAATATCGCCTAGTGAACGACACATCAAAGGAACCGTTTAACAATACAAACCATTGTAAATGGTTCCAGTACTAAAAGAAATCATTTGTTGAAAATTGCTTAAACCTATAATCAGTAATGTTATTAGTTAATTCACTTGTTCCTGTATTGGGTGATATATTTCAGTTAGTTTCAAATATCGTGTAATTTTTTTTTAAACTTTACTTAATTACAGTTTAATAACTGAGACTACTTATTATTTATTTGTTCAAAAAATGACATTATTTTTGTTCATTTAGTTATGTTTATAGATATATAAGTTTTTACACATTTGAAATCATCAATCAATCATCGTTAGACCACCATTAGAAACCTGTAAGCACTGGACGGCCGTTTGGTCCTGGTATGGGACTCATCAACAGTGCGCATCCACGACTACTTCACCACGCAGGATTCGAACCCAGGACCTTTGGCCTTGCGCCTAACCTCTGAACCATTAGGCCGGAGTCCGACAGTGGTAATATCTAACTCTGATTGATCTAGGGATTTCGCGCAACCTCACCCACTTGTCTTTGGTAGTTACTACCTACATCCGACAGGGTTGAACTCCACTGATTATGTCTTCTCACTAGAACTCTGAGAATTTCCTCACGAAGCTAGTCACTAGTGAGCACACTTTACGATATTTTCAATTAGAGTTATGGAGATGAGTGTTTTTACACATTTGAAATCATCAATGAATCATTGTTAGACCACCATTAGAAACCTGGAAGCACTAACACTGATTGACTAATGATTTCAAATATGTAAAAACACTCATCTCCATAACTCCAATTGAAAATATATAAGTTTGTTTGATCTTTAATTGAACAGAATTTCTCACCACGACTACTTTCAAGTGATGAGTGTTTTCGAACGCACAACAAAATATATCTGGTATTTCAGCAAAATAAACAAAGTGATCAGTAAAACTCTCGATCAATTCAACGACAATTTAGTTGAATTCATTAAAAAAACGTGGCTGACTCTAGGAGAAAGTTCAAACTGTCTATTATATAAGACAGCGTCATAATTAAAATCAGCTGAAAAATATAACAACTATTCATGAAAACTTTTTTCGTCACATGTTGCAGTAAACTATTGATTAGAGAATGTTTCGAAATTGTTTTTTTTGAAATAGTTCACATTTCATTCACATGTTATTAAAATCAATAAAATTACGTTTGTTTCCTGTGGGTTTTTTCTCTCACTCTCTCTCTTCTAACACCTATTTCCTAGGTTATGTGCCTTGTTTGTCATAAAGTAATGACTCAAAGAAAATTAGACACCATTAAACGACATGTGATCAGAAGACATCCGGAATTATTGAAAATGCCGGATAATGATAAGCAAGCATTATTTACGGAATTATTTATCAAACAGCCTAATGTGACGGAAGAAGATACAAATGTCAATTCATCGTCTAACAACCAACGTAATGATGCATCACAAAAATCAAACGATTCATATGCAGCTAATGTTCATAGGAATTTAGTGAGTATTCAACACTCACAGAAAACTAAAGAGATCACGCAGAAAACTTTACTTAATGATAATAATAATAATCCTAACTGGTTGACCAATGAAATGAACGATAGAAATGTTTTGAAGAATATTAACAGGTCGATCAATGATAATTATATTCCATTATTTTATTCACCCATTTATCAATCGGTATTTCATAGAAAAACTAGAGATACACTAAATGAACTGCATCAAGTGGTTAAATCAAATTCTAAAGTTAAACATCAAGATAGCAATGGTTTGCCAAAAATGTATCATGACAACATGAACACAAGTGGTTTGAACACTTTACCAAATGATTGGTCTCATCTCTTTAAGGTTGCTGGAAGTTTACTGCCTACTGTGACATCTTCTTCACCTAATGTACCCACTGATCCTCTGGATTATTCTACTCATTCCAATCGACTTAATCCTATGCGAATCGATATGCATTCATTATCTCCTAATGATCACTTATTGTATACTTCAATCATTCCGGAGAAGCCTTTATTGTCTCCAGACATGGAAATCAATAGTAATTGCACTTCGTTTTGTTCTCAAATTAATACACAGTATAGAAAATCATTTACTCCAATGACATATCAATCGTCGGAATCATCGAACTCATTGTCGTTTGTATCTGATGTACAATCAGAATGGTTAACTAACTTTCGAGATTTAGAAAAATCGCCTGTGTGTACGGAACTGAATCCTATTGTGAACAGCCATACCATTAGGCCTAGTGATAAAAGTCAAGCTGCATTGAATTGTGTCATGAACTATCCCAGTAGAAATATCTTCAGTGACACTGAATTAAACACACATGACAACACTTCAAAAACTAAAGCGTATTCAAATCCACAGTTCCATTTAACAGCAGAGCATATGGTGCATGATTATATTGTTAATGAATTAAACCAACGTTTAAAATTATCCATGAATACAGAAACAGGTGGTGATGAGAACCATGCATCATCTGAATGTGAGTCAACATTTTCAAAAGTAAGTCCAAACTCATGGCATACATATTTTTTACAAATTTGAAGTCATCAGTCAACCATTGTTAGACCACCATTAGAAACCTGGAACCACTGGATGGCCGTTTCGTCCTGCTATGGGATTCATCAGCAGTGCGTGCGCATGTTTTTATATATACAGCATATTTGAAGTTACAACGTCAAACCTGAGTAATAATAGTTACAAACTTATTAATGTGTGCATAGTATAATTTGACCGTCATCCGTACTTGTATGAATAAAATTTTTAAAAAAAACATACATTTTCAATTAGAGTTATGGAGATTAGTGTTTTTACACATTTGAAATCATCAACCAATCATTATTAGACCACCACAATCAAAACTAGACGTTGACTTCGTTGGATGCCGGCCCAGTGGTCCAGATGTTAGGCGTTCGCACACAAGACCGAATGTCCCGGGTTCGAATCCTGCAAGGGGCAGGAGTCGTGGATACGCACAGGACGAAACGGCCGTCCAGTGCTTCCAGGTTTCTAATGGTGGTCCACCAATGATTGACTGATGATTTCAAATAATTTCTCATCACAGTAGGGGACATTATTCAAAAAGGTCCAACTAAAGTATGCAAAAACGTTATAGTTGATGATAGATGTGTATTCCTTCATTTTGAGAAAACTGGAAATTTTTATTACCATTAAAATGATTAGTGATAAATGAAATAGACCAGGTAATTTTCTATCCACACTTTTAGTCATGACAATTCGTAAATCGCCTCTGTTATTTCTGATTATCGAGAATTGATGCACCAATCACTCTGAAGTTAGTTTGTAGAATTAAGTAACAATAGGCTAAATATTAGCTGATAAAGTGTATTTCCAAGTTATTAAACTAATGGAGTCAACGTTGAATTATGTTAAAGAAGTCACTGATTGAGATTTTTATTGATACATCGACTTGATTGGTGATTGTTTTTCATTGATATTTACTTTAGTTTGTAAAAATGATACCTAGTTCTTCTTGATTAAGAGGTAGTTGTATCGTATAATTTGTAGTTATTTAAAAATATCTGTATAACCAAATACAGATGCAAACCATAAAGATTTCAGTGGATCAGTCATGTAAGGTAACTTGCACTGCGTATTGACGATATAACAAGATAAAATGAAGTCGTTTCTACTCAAAGAGATTATTTTTTTAATTAGATCAAGTATCTAATCATGCATACACATTCATGGAATGAACTTTTTCATAACTTGGATAGTTTAATTTATTTTCCCCAAAAGGTAGTATTGAATGAGTCAATTTCAAACTATTCACCAACTGGATTAATAGTTGCAAACTGAAGTAAATTAAACTTTTTTTAAAATCACAAATTATTCAATCATAAGTTGAATTATTGATAGAGTAACATTTTCTTTTGTTTGTTTTATTCTCTCAAACAGATTACGGGACTTGAAGAAATGCAATCTTCAATGATAACCGCTTGGTATTCAGCTCTTATAAATTCCGCTAAAAGTACAAACCAGTCATCAGCTAGCGATATTGTATCTTCAAATTTACATAAATCAATAGGTGAACCTTTCGCCTTATCAAATCCAGAACTTTTCAATACCAGTTTACATGTTTCCAATAATTCTGATGAAATGATTTCATCTCCTCGTTTAAAACAAAGAGAAAAATCTAATAATTCTACGAATTTAATCGATTCTTGCCAATCTCATAAACAGGCTGAAGATTCATCATATTCATCAAAACAAACCAATTCAGATTTAAATAAATTTACTATTTCCTCATTATTGAATACAGAACAATGTCAAACAAAAGTACCAAAGACAGTGCAAAGAAGTAGTCATTCCTGTCTTGATTCACCTAACAAGTTGGATTCAGCTTCATACGATAACTCGACTGATTCATCATCACAATTGGGCGATCATCAAAAATGCGCTAAATTTAAGCCTGTTCCAGGATGTGTTCCATGCATTCTTTGTCGAATTCATGACATGAATATGGAAAATTCCTCAAATGTGATAAATCCTAATAAGTTGTACAGATTAAATGTTGACAGTCTAAATAATAAGTTATTTGCAAAAGCAGCTGATTCATACAAAATAAAACATACCGAATTCTCTTGTTCAAAACATTTATCCAGTTCATTTTATAATTATTCCATGGCAATTCAGTCGAAATGTAATAACACGTCGTCTAATCAGTTCAACAATAATGATCTATACACTTCACACAATCAACTGCCATTCATACATTTATTCGATTCCAATACTCAACCTTTTCATTCTGCAGAAACGCAAATGAAATGTTATTATCAAGAATTGTTACGACAGCATTTTGAACATATACAGAAAGTATATTATACGAATGAAAAAGTAACATCATCCTATTGTATGCCAATAAATAAAGAAAATGCTATCTGTTTAAATGATAGGCAAAATATATCTTCTAGTTGAATGAACAGTAGTAACCCTGATGCTTCAGTTGTATAAAAAGAAATATCGACAATTTCCATACAGAGACAGGTTAGTTATTAATATGCTACAATATTTCTTCTCAATAGTTATATTGAACTATGTAAAGTGTTTGTGAAGTGCGAGGATTCACTCAACCTCCAAATGATAAGTTTTAAATGATGATAAATTAAGGAAGGTTTTGAGATGATACAGATAAAAATGGCAATAACAGTGTAGAATTCTGCTAAGCCGTGTTTAAATATTGGATAGACTGAATGTTCACACTGATATACTGTTTGGTGATATTTTTCTAGCGAAATAACAGAATCGCAATTGAGGATCCGAAAACCCCTGTCAACCGATTCACTTAACTCGACAAATGGACTGACAAGCAGTGACTCAGTGACAGAAACTATAAAACATCAAAATACCTCAAACAACAAGCTAGCATAGTGGTGAATTGAGTTGCAATCCACGATTTAATGGCAATGATTGGATCTTTTCAATAAAGAGACTCTTGAATTAATGTCTAGAAGTAATATGCTGAAAGATTTATCTGACATTTTTTGACATTAGCTTCATTCTTACCTATTCTAAAGTTTTCAAGGAGAAAAAACCTTTCCAGTTCTCTTTAATTTTATTTAGCTACTACAATGGCATAAAATTTTTCAAACTGAAATCCATTTAGACCTGGAACATTTTTCATATATTTATCATTTAAAAGGACCAGATTTGTTCACCAACCAATCAGTTATCCAATCTAGGCTCTTAAATTCAAGATTTTCATCAATAGAAATTATCGTTAGAATGACTAACAAAAGCTTTCCAGCTTCGTCCCACCGGCAACGCAATGAAACCGTATGGAAATAACCGAGTTTCAAAAATTCTTTTCACATCATAAGAAAAAAACAATACCATAATTTGGAAGCTGTTAAAAACTATCTGTGCAACGGATAAAAATCTATTATTATGCATGAAATACCTTCTTTTTTAATAATATTTTTAAGGTAGCTGCCTAATTTACACACAACTCTCATTAAAAACACTGTTATGTTGCCATCTGAAACACAGTTTACAAAACAAAATGTATGGTAACAATCGCAGAGTTTTGACGCATGTTACAATAAGTTCAAAATCAATGTTAACTTTGGTTCTACAAATTTCGAATGTGTCTAGTTAAATACTATAGTTCATGAGCTATACAGTTTGTTTAAATCAATTATCGCTCGTAAATTTAGGAACAATGACATGAAAACTACCTCACTGTATAATAAATATGCAAAAGAAAAAAAGTGCAAACTGCACTTGCATTTCACTATAGAAATTCTTTTAAATGTGAAACGAAAAATTTACTATTGAACTATGATTGATTTGTTGACAAATTTACGCGCTAAATACCATTCTATCCAATTTTTTGTTTTTATTGTACTAAGCCTTAATTTTTTTTTCAACGATATTTCAAGGGATTTTTTATTCACTTTACATGAATAGATGTTACACATTTTTGAAACCATGAATCGATCAATGTTAGACCACCATTAGAGAAACCTGGAAGCACTGGATGGCCGTTTCGTCCTGGTATGGGACACCGTTAGATACCGGCTCGGTGGTCCGATGGTTAGGCGTTCGCCTACAATACCTAAGGTCCTGAGTTCAAATACTTCGGGGTTCAGGATTCGTGGATGCACACTGCTGAGGAGTCCCATGCCAGGACGAAACGGCCATCCAGTGCTTCCAGGTTTCTAATGGTGGTCTACCAATGATCGATTCATGGTTACAAAAATGTGTAACTTAACAATCTTCACAACCCCGTAATATAAATAGATGTTTGTTTTTTTTTTTAATTATTTTATTTTAGTTAACTAAATTCATCAAGTTACGTGATGTTGTGTATGCAACTGTAAATGCTGAGTTCTATTTACAAAAATATGTACATATAAATATATATATAATTCTTAAGAATAATAACATGGAAATATCTGTTTGATAACCGACAAACAACTCTACTATCAAGAAAATTACTAGAATAATAAAATGTGCTACCGGCCGACCTATTTTCATTCCGTGCAACAAAAGATCAGTCATGAAATCAGACGGAGACAACTGTATAGTCTATGGTTATGTAAACTCTTGATACATTAATTTGTGATTATCGTGGCAATACTCAAGTGAAACACAGATTAAAAGAATTCCTAACATATCGTTTATTTTCACTTCAATATTTCTATGCATTTTTGACAATATAATTGTATGACATTGAACTAAAGAAAATGTTCATTTCGGATAAAAAATTATAGCTCTAGTTGTTGTGTATGTGATTGACCGATAAAAAGAAACTCTGAAATATTTCTGTGCTCTCATTTAGTTTACTTTATAACGACAGCTTTTTTTAAAGCATTGTCTTGTTTGTTTGTTTGTCTGTTTTCCTTTCGTTATTATTGATTGTTTTCAATTGTAAATTACAGATTTTTGTCATGATGACCATTTTCTCTTGTCAATATTCATTAGTTGTAAACAAAAAATAGAGAGAAGGAATCGTTTCTCGATTCGATTCGCATTTCATGAATTCCTCATTGATTTTGTACAAAATAACTAATGCTATCAGTGTTTGTTGAATGAATTTCTTTTTTTCACACTCAGCATTAATAGACTTTCCATGGCGTTTAAATTTGAATAGTCTAAGCGCAAATGTGATACTGGTGTACTTGAAGTAGATGAATTGTGTGTGTGTGTGTGTCAATGATGAATTTATGCAACAGAGCAATACACTTTTTGCTTAGTTACTAGTGATCTTTCTTCTTTCTTTTTTTCAAGTTGAAAATATAATTTCAAATTTTCTTTTTGTTAATTTTGTTTAAATTTGTATGTAACTGTTTTTTGAATTTTAAATTCACAAAAAGGGACACGATATTCGTACATTCGATGCATACTATGCTATACATGTTGTTTGATTCCAATCAATCCTGTTCGATAACAAAGTTTCTTAATGTGCATTTTATTTAATTTTTATTTGTTTCAAGTTATCATTAGTTGATATCTTTGTTTATTTTAGTGAAGCTTGATCATTTAACCGACCAATTATTGTTTAACTCAATAATAGGTCGTCAACCAATGAGGAATGTAAGAATAAAATGTAAATATTGTGTTTCTGAAACATGTATATTGTCAGTATCTTTTAAAACTATGTTAAGGACTCAGTTCATTGAATCAATATTCTAATATAATTTCATAATCTTTAAAGTTGAACAGTTTCGTACCTTGATAAAATTTTCAGGTTTTGGTTGGAGAACACTAGATCAACAGGACCTAGATCCTCAGTCCGGGATCCGTGTCTTCTTTTGGAATCGGACCTCGTCCTTTCTGGATGCTTGTAGAATACAGGCTCTAATTCATATCAAGTCATCTTCTTTCACTCAATGGGGGTTAGGACAATCGGATTAGAGTAGCCTGTCGTGTCGCCGGATCCACGATCCTTGCTCTCGTTTTTCGACTAAGGTAAACTCGTAATAGTTCAAGCATATCAAATTGACATGTTTACGTACAACTGTAACAGATTAACACAAAGTTTAGCATTGTTTAACACTCAGTACATTATATCTATTCTAAATCTATTCTACTGGATTAGTTAAATCCTATTACTATAATAAAGTGTTACTCTAAGGATCGAACTGAAGTGGCATTTAAGTTGCATATATATCCCATTACACTATAGTTCATTAAAATGTACCTAGAATTTCAAGCAATATTAACGATAAGCAGAGTTAAGATGGATTCTGATATGTTCATCACTAGGTACGGTTGAAGCTATTACGAGTTTACCTTAGTAGATAAACGCGAATGAGACAATGAACCAGCGTCCAGGTAGGCTACATTGAATCCCAAGCTGACGTAAGAAGGCTTTGTAAGCGTAGAAAGCATATTCTACAAACACCCAGCAATCACAGTACAATCAATCACACAACTCTCTTTTATTTATACATCAGAGAAACGTTCTTGGGACAGTTACGAAAACAGCACACTGAAATACACAGCAACCAATCACAGCCATGGATTTTCGTAGTGGGAAATGAAATCTCAATATCAACTGATCAGCTCATGCTCGCAAATGTGAAATGCAAAATAAGGCATTTATCAAGAGAGTTCTGGGGATCTAACATCCCCATCAGATTCAAAATCATTCATTGTTTCAATTGTGATCCTAGAATTGTCTTAAGGGTATTGTCACATTTACTATTGTTTCAAATGGTCTGATCAAGTCATGAAACTAATTCATAAGTGTATATATTCTGAAATAGGTGCTTGTTTTTACAACTACCCACATTGAAATGTACAATTTTCTCCATAACATATAAAACAAAGTAAACCATAGAATGAGTACACAATCATACATTTTTCAAAGACCGATTATTAATAATTTATCAGTTTAAAACACCATCAGTAGTGGTTAAGTTACTGAATGCATTAAAATTATGAACAGAATAATAATGGAATTATTTATTCTTAATAAATGAAGCATAAAAAATTTTCTGTTATCTCACCAAAATAAAGTGCTAACTTGTTAACCACAAAAAAACAAAAACAAATTACCTACACTCAATTTCATTTGGATTCAACACAACTAGAGACCTACATTGAAATACAGTACAATGCAATATCCTATCAATTGATTCAACTAAATGTTCCGACAGGAAGCGAACGCTTTTTACCTATTTCATCTTACCTAAAGTTCTATTAAATATAAAGGAGGGAAAAACAAAGCAATAAAACACTGATATTAAATGAAGAAACCGTTATATATATATATATATATATATATATATATATATATATATATATATTTCTAATTCACTAACCTTCTTCACTCTTCAACACAAGTAAGTTGTTAGCTCTGTTCATTTCTACTTCTTTTTTGTTTGTTAAGTACTCGTGAATAATAAGTTCAAATGAATCGCAAACATAATTTTCCTTACCAAAAGTAAAATAATTTGATCAGTTAACGG